CCTCAAAAAAAAGTGACCGAAGTCACCCTGCCACATTCTACGCAATCATAGTACCAGAAAATCTCTACCCATCTTATCAAAGGAATAATAATTCTATCTACATAACGGAAGAAACAGTGGCATGTTTACAAACTTTTCCTTCAACGAGATCGTTCCAATGGTAGCCATATACCATAATTATCTATACATCCCCTATGTCATCTATTTATAAATGTGTATAATAAAACAGATTACCAGATATCTTACGGACGAAGGGATTTAAATATCAGAATATATGATCATAGAGAGGCTTACGTTACACGCCGTACAATGGCCGAGTGAGTGCTAGCCATAATTTCAATAAAATATCCACTTAAAGAATCCTTATCAGCCGCACAAGACTTTCATGAATGAAATCTTTTGCAAAATTTATTGCCACTGAATGCTACTTTCCAGTAAGCTCTTGTCGATGTGTAGAAGAGCCAGATAAGGCGACTGCTCGACGGTATAAAAGCGTCGCAAAGAGTAGGAAAGGTATGAGTTTCAGAGCTTAGTCAAGATGAAACTGTTCGTATTCCTGGCATTGGCTGTGGCCGCAGCTAGCGCTGTCCCCACTCCCCAGCAGAAGCACACCCCTGTCCCTGTCAAGGACATTGAGGGCCGTATCACCAACGGCTACAATGCCTACGAGGGCAAGGTCCCCTACATCGTTGGTCTGCTCTTCAGCGGCAACGGCAACTGGTGGTGCGGTGGCTCCATCATTGGCAACTCCTGGGTCCTGACCGCTGCTCACTGCACGAACGGAGCCGAGTCCGTGACCATCAACTACGGTGCCAGCTTCCGCACCCAGCCCCAGTACACCCACTGGGTGCACCGCAACGACATCATCCAGCACCACCACTACAACAGTGGCAACCTGCACAACGACATCTCTCTGATCCGTACCCCCCATGTCGATTTCTGGCACTTGGTCAACAAGGTTGAGCTGCCCAGCTTCAACGATCGTTACAACAGCTACGCCGGACAGTGGGCTGTTGCCTCCGGATGGGGCGGCACCTACGACGGCAGCCCACTCCCCGACTGGCTCCAGTGCGTCGATGTCCAGATCATGGACCAGGGCGAGTGCAGCCGCACTTGGTCTCTCCACGACAACATGATCTGCATCAACACCAACGGCGGAAAGTCCACCTGCGGAGGAGACTCCGGCGGCCCCCTGGTTACCCATGACGGCAACCGCCTGGTGGGTGTGACTTCCTTTGTGTCTTCTGCTGGTTGCCAGTCTGGAGCCCCAGCTGTCTTCAGCCGAGTCACCGGCTACTTGGACTGGATCCGCGACAACACCGGCATCTCCTACTAAGAGGAAACTCATCCTTATTCCTACATTTTCATTGGGTTACTTCAATAAACGATTTTACAGATAAAAATATGATCACTTTTTGAATATTGGGCAGTGTGGGGAAAACTTCTTTAAAATTTATATTTCACGATCACAGGCAGGTTAAAAATTTCAGTTTCCGATTTACTTGTGATAACGCGTGCGCTTTACCGGAGTAAGCTCTGCCCTCAACACAAATAAGTGACACTGAATGGGCAGACGCAAGCATTTTCAGAATAAAAATTAAGCTTTTTCGGACGTGTTTACAAATATTTACCAACTAAAAGTAAATTAGAAAAAAATATTAAATTTATGGGTTTAGGTAAAATACAATTTTTGTTTCTTTTGGACCAGAGCAGTAACTGATCTGAAAACCTAGTATATGAAAGCAGCGTATCCAAAATGGATCAATAACTAGTACATACATAAGTATGTACATATGTGTGTATGTATGGTGCAGATACCTTAAAAATTGTATAAAACTTAAACTTTGCACTGTGCACTTTTCAAAGTAAGCTGATTTTGAGATGCTTTAACATGTGAAAAAGTGCGGAAAAAATTGAGCAACTTGCAGCTGTTATTGTAGCTCGATTACAAGGTTTATATACAAGTAAAAATATGGAAATAACATGTCGAGGTATTTTGATTAATTGTTAATACAAGTTTTTGTATAGTTGTGTGTAGGTATTTAATTGTCCAACGTTTTGTTCGTGTGTCTTTTTAGCTTTGTACCAACAATTGCACGTGTTTTCTGTGGAATATTACTTTTGCACAGCACACCACTGCACAGAGGTTCAAGTTACATTTTATTAACCAAATATTATAGAACCACGTGGTGTTAATGTTTTTGCCCCTTTTCGAACAATTTTAAATTTTGCAGATGCTTATGAGTTTACTTATGCAGCGCTGCTGGAGGTCTGGACCAACACTAATCGTGAAGCCGACGCAATAAAATGTTATAGTTTAAAGAGTATTGACAAAAACTGACTAACTATAGATGAAACTATTACAATTCAAACGAAAATTATCCAATTTATTGCTTAGTTGCACAAGTACTAAGCGAAATGCAATTCTACGTTGGAGCGATTCCAATCATATTACTTTTAACCAAACAATCATTCAATCAGTCAATCAAATATATTTTCTTAAAGTTCCAAAATGTTTTAAAGGATCTTTAATCATAATTTTTCTTTTGAATACCTTTTTTTAATAATAAATACGACGTAAATGGGATCCAGTTCGTATGGGGGCGGGAGGTAGGCGGTGTCCAATTGACTAAATTTTTTTTTCAAAATTCTACTTTAGTCTAACGAACATTCATGCCAATTTGTAGAGCTCTAGCTCTACTTTTTTGAATAATGCCAAGAAACGGGCTTTTGACCCATAGCGCTTTGGTTAAATATTTCTGCAGGTTATGTCTCGACATGAGTAAGGTAGTCCCCTGAAATGTATCATCACATTTATTTACAATTAAATTTTCGGTACATTCATGTTTTGGATATCGGCGCAGTAATTGTCGAGTTATGGCAGCTATATTTTATTCTAATCTTGTTGAGTTTGCCCTAAAAATCTACTGATAAATAAATAATAAACGAGAAGGGACGTGTGAGACGCTTCTTACGCGTCACAACTTTTATACCCGGCACTCAGTAATACATCTGCCTGCACCTTAGCGGTGTTTTGTCAAATTTTAAATATTTTCTTCATCTGTCATCTACATCTACTACACTTCTCACACCAACACGCTCCTTTAGCTCGCCGCCCTTCCCTAGACACACACACTGCAGACTCGCGGCAGAGGCAGAGGCAGCGCCCGCACACAAAAAAAAACAAATATAAGCTGCAGGACGGGGTGGATTAAAAGTCGGCAGAGGCAGGGGCCGAGTGAAGCAGAAGCATAGTGTGAATGAGAGAATGTGAAAAGAACAACAAAAGCTGCGGGACAGGGTGGGTTTAGCCACTGGAAATTAATTTCTCCATTGTGGCTTCTCCCAATTTGGTGATCTGATAGATATGGCCATACCCTACAGAATGGCGTTTTTAATTTTCTCTTATCTTCAAAATTGTAGATTTGGGAGGTTTTCGCCCTTTTGCGGGGGCGGAAGGTTGCGTGGCTCATTTTTTAAATACACTTGTAACAGTGTGAGCATACAGAAGTCTGGATGCAAAAATTTGGTGGCTCTAGCTTTTATGGTCTCTGAGATCCAGGCGCTCAACAAGACTTTATGGGGTCGGAAACGTTTCCTTCTGTGTGTTACATACATTCACTTTGTGCACAAATACAATATACCCTATTTACTCTTCGAGTACCGGGTATAAAAAATATAAAACCGGAAATTCTGTTATGGCGTTGAATTATATTTATCTAAATTTTTCACAGACTTTTTATTTTCCACCGACTGCCCCTTTGGAATTAAACTGCAATGACAGTCTGCAGGAAAATTCCATCATGCTAATTTCACCCTTTTTAAATATATATTTCAAACATTTCTTGTTCGCAATCGTTCAGATATTAGGTGAAACCTTCTGGAGCCTTATAATAAAACAGTCAACCGGAAGTCTCATAATCGAACGTCGAAGATTTCGTCTATGTATCAGAGATAGGGACGCGTGCCTGTTGGTGAATGGTAAATAAATTATTTGCATTAATTTTGTTAGCTTTATCGAGGACGACCCACGTCAGTAGGCCGCGGGTGTGCCATATTTTTCTTCAAAGAGTCTACTTGAGACGCCTTATCAGCAGGGCAAGACATTCATGCAAGAAACGGTTGCAAAATTTATGGCTAGTGTATGTTACATTTAATTGAGAGGAACACTTGTGGCTGTGTGCACAAACAGATAAAGAGGTTTCGTTAGTATAAAAGGTTCGCCAAATTTGAGGAAAGGTATGAGTTTCAGAGCTTAGTCAAGATGAAACTGTTCGTATTCCTGGCATTGGCTGTGGCCGCAGCTAGCGCTGTCCCCACTCCCCAGCAGAAGCACACCCCTGTCCCTGTCAAGGACATTGAGGGCCGTATCACCAACGGCTACAATGCCTACGAGGGCAAGGTCCCCTACATCGTTGGTCTGCTCTTCAGCGGCAACGGCAACTGGTGGTGCGGTGGCTCCATCATTGGC